AGCAGCATATTATGGCCACAGCCTGCAATCAGTGGGGGAAACAAAGCTGCTGACATTGCCGATCCTGTCAGCCCACCTAATAGCCTCAAAGACAGAAAAACACAAACCAAACACCTGTGGATAGTCAAAGATGGGAAACATGGGGCTGGGCTATGGCCAGGAAGTCACAGTGCACCCTGATGACTTTTGTTCTCAAAAGCCACAAGTACACAGTGTGTCTGTCATGTAGCATAATAAAATATCTGTACATCCCTACCCACAAGGCTATGGTAGTTTCACAGCAATTATTTAGTTTTGCCACTTTGAGAATGGGACGTTCTTTCAATATCTCTACTGGCTTACAGGTGAACACATACCTCCCCCTGGTACATCCCAGCTAGGTGGATGGGTACATCCCATAAGTTTCCCATCTGTCCTGATCCAGGTGCATAGCCAAGCCACCCTATCTCAATATCCCTTCTATTTTTTAGGGAATCAAGGTGTTGTGTCTGTGTCCATTGTCTTCTTGTTCTCTCCACTGAAGATGCTGAGTAGGATCCTGCCTGTGAACAGCATGTATACCCACACCCTGTTCAGAGGGGAGAACTTTATAGCACTCCCTCATGCAGAGCAAATGCATGTCCTGAACTTTCATGTCTGTTAGAGGGTATGATTTTCATCTATGTTTGTCACTTCTCTATCTTCAGTACTTCAAACAGTATCTAGCATATACCAGACATTCAATAAGCATTGGTTAAATAAATAAGTGATTCTAATACTAAGAAGTGCTTGACTAATAATAAAGGAATTACTCAAAAGGTGGTACTTGTCTCAAAGCCATAAAGAAAGACTTGTTGCCACATTGTACATACCAGGCTCAGTAGAGCCTACTAGAAATGGAGGGTTTGGTTATGTGAGAATCCCAGTCAGTTATCATTTTTGGGACCACATGGAGGTGACCCAAAGGTGGACAGGTACAGGTGATCTTCACACAGAGCCAAATATCAGTGAGCCAAATGAGGCAGAAAACATACCAGGGGTCCACATACTTGCTTTCATCAAATCTCCATCCCATAGCTGCATAGTAATTGGGAGAGAGGGGAGGTAATCAACTTCCATAGCACCACTTCTGCCTCTCCTCAGTTCACAACAGGCACAGAGGAGTCCCATGTGTACATTTCAGCAAGCACCTTCCAGAAGTTTGGCACTAAACCAGGTGAGCCAGACATCACATTCCATGTTGCATGCATCTCAGCTTATCTTTTCTCCATGGCATCCATGGCCCTTACTTGGTTTCTAAGCTCTGGAGCTAAAACCACTAGAACGTGCCCATCTGACAAGCATTCTCTTCATCCAGGAAACTCTGCAGACAACTGTCCCTGGCAGAAATGCGCACACACTCCTGGCAGCATTTCTCCCTCCCAGTTGAACAGAGGAAAAAGCCTGGTAAACAGCAATTGCTAGGAAGCATTCTGCCATAAAGTAGAAGGCTGTGTTTGAAGTTCAGAATTTTCTCTCTTCTTCTGGGTGCCCATTCTCCAAGTTAGTCACTTGGCTACACTTCTGCTTCCTTTGATGTAAAAGGAGGGTGTTAACAGTATCTCTTGCATAAGACTGGGTGAGCCTTGTGGGGAGTGAAAGTTGCAGCCAGCCCTGCCTGGCACCCAGGGAGCCAAGAGAGGGTGCTCTGGAAACAGTGAAGGACAGTCACATTCCAGCTGTTCTGGGAGGATTCTCGGCAGAGGGTACGAGCCAACCTCAACCTTCGAACTGGGACTGTGGGGCCTGACTACTCAAATTTACTTAGTTTTAATTTTCTTCATCATTTTATCTCCTATAGCACCTATTAGTTTGCCAATAATATAATGGGCAACAAGAAAATTTAATGAATGCATGCATATGTGGATGATTGAGAGACAGCATGAATTAATATGAAAGTGTGAATATGTAAAAGTGTTACAGGAGAAACTTGGTTCTTCTTGCCAACACAGTAAAGAATTACAGATCATCAAGTCTTTTAGCATGCAAGCATGGTTTATTAGTGATAACATTCTCATAGAAGAGAATAGGCATTCATGAGGTAGAAGTTAAAAGACATAGGTTTAGGGCAGGGCAAAGTAAGGGCAGTAGGAGCAGGTGTGGCAAGAGCATCAGATTCTTTGTCTTGAGGATTTATATAGTTGGTAGGATTAGGAGAGGGAGTTACATATTGATTGGTGGATAAATATGATGTCATCTTACCCTGGGAAGACAGGACTACCTAAATGTAGGTATGCATGAAGGTCTGTTAGCTCGAATTCTTGTCTTGCTCTGGACTATGTTTGGTCACCTTGCTGTAAAACAGATCCATGACAAAAGGCTGTTAATTAAAGTTGAAGCAGTTACCCGAAGTTATTTATGAACTCTTTATGTAAGCACTAGGAACTCCCTCATAAAGCAGATAGTGAACAGAGGTAGGCAATTAACCAAAATTGTTTTATGGGCTTCTTTGAGCATGGCGGACAACTTCCACTTCCCTGTTCTAGACTTTGGGATAAATACACAGTTTCAAAGGCTTTCTTCCCTAGGTAGTGGAAATGATACATAGGATTTCAAGGACTCTCCTCCTCCCATGTTAACATGGTGTTTCATACAATGCTGGAACACCTGGCAATACTATTGGACCAGGCAATATTATCGGACCAAGTTTGGGACTACTGAGTTAGTGGGTGAGATCTGTCTCCCTCCTCTTCTCTGCCTTGGTTTACTATCTGTCCTACCTAACAGAAGGGTGATAATTTTAAAAAATTGAGATGAGGGCAATATCATGAATTATAGCATTTGATTTGAAGTGAACTTTAAATAGTTTTCAGAAAAAAACACAAGAAAATGAGTTTAAGAAAAGTAAAATTCACATGTGCATTCTCAGGGAAGAAAAATAACAAGCTAATTTCTGCAAAATCACCCATTCATATGTAACTGTGTGAGAAAAAGTCTTACAGGTAATAGCAAATGGAAAGTGACTAGGGTAACAGAACCATGCACAAGGTATGAAAACAGAATATTTTGGAGTCCTTAAATATAAAATGTCTGGAGAAATATTTGGGAATATGATTAATATACTAGGTATCTTAATGAGAGAAGAGGAAGAACCCAAATTTTTCTGAAAACCTCTGTGTACTAGACATAGTAGTGTTTTTAGAAAGATGACTGGGTGATATATTTATCACTTGGTCCTCAGAGCAGCTCTATGAGGTAGATATTGTAGCTAAGAAATTCTAGAGTTAGAGATAAAAATAATTATCTCAAAAAGGGATAGCTAGTGGGGAGTAAAACCTGAATTTGGTTGCAAGTCTACCTTAGTCCTAAATCTATGCTCTTCCCAGTTGGTAACATGGAATCTCCAATGTCCACTAGCTCAAGTGAAACGGCAGTGCTATCTTTGGTTCTTCCCTCTTCTTCATAAAGCCATACACAATCAGTCACCAAGTTCTGCCTATTCTTCTAAAAAAAGATGTGTTTGTTTCTTTCTAAACTCATGGCTATCAGGTTGGTCAGCCTCTATCTTCTTTCCTGCAGACAGATATAACTATTTTTTATACTTACTTTTTCCTTATTTTAGCTTATTCTCCATGTGACAACTAGAATACCTGATAAAAATTCATAAATGACCACATTACTTCATTGCTGAAATTATTTCTGTGGCTTCTCATTATTCTGAGATTTCATTTGAAAATTTTTAACATGCCCTATAAGACTTCAATAAATTGGCTGGGGTGGTGGCAAAAGGAGAAAAGGTAGAAAACTGTTCCTGAACAATTAAAAATTGTTTTAAAAAGACCTCCACAAACAGCACTTCTAATTGCCTTATTCTTTTTATGCTGCTTTTCACATCATTGTCTTCACTCCAGCTGTGTTCATTTTTTCCCTCTTATTTCCTGTTTCATCACAGAGACTTTGCTGTCATCTCTTGCTGAAAGCAGGCCTCTTCACCATCTCTCATATCTCTTACCTTTTTTTTACTTGGTTTTCAGTTTTCAGGGATCCAATCTTTGACCTCCCTGTCTCACTTAAATCCCTTTGCTAAGTACTTATGCAGCATTTTGCATTTCTCCATTTATTTTATCACATTGACTTCTGCTTATATAAAACTCTAACAGGATGATTTGCCTGAGTTGATTTTCTGTTATATTCCTAGAGTCTATGGTGGTGTCTTGTGAGTGGTAAAGTCTTGATTAACTTATGTTAAATGTTGTGATGATCAATTAAAAATGGAAAAATGAGAATTATAAGGAAGTTACTCAAGTGAATATTCTACCTTTCAGTATCATTAGAATGCTGTTTTACTATCAGTGAAATGACTATCATTGAGGTTGTAGTCAAATCCTCAAGCTTGGCTGAGTATGTGGTGTATGATAGACCAGATGACTCCAGTGCCTATCACCCTGAACTGCCCTATGGTTGGTTTTGACGAGATCCTCAATCTCTATGCCTAAGAAACCTTCTCTGATACCTTGTCAGTAGAATATATGTATTAGTTTAATATTCTATATATGAAGTTGAGGACATGTACATTTTTATTTATGCATTTGATAGTGAATTCTATAAATGTTTGTTATATAAATATTAAGCTCAAATATTGTGCAAAACATTGAGTAAATTAAGTTGAGGAAGATAAGCAAGGTTACTTCCCTCGCAAAGCTTAGATTTTCTGCTTTAGTTTGCTTTAGAGCCAGGTATAATCAGAATGTATTTATTTAGAATTGATTGGAAGGACATGTATAAGGCAGCTTTGCACTTAGGAGGCCAGATTTACATCTGTGAAACCATAGAAGTCAATTATAATGGCTGTGATAAAAAATATAATTTTCATGCTATAATAATCTCAAGAAAGAATGTCTTGTTATCTATCTCATCATACCCAAAAAGTACATAATTTATATATTAAGTTAATTTGAATTTTCTCTGTGAAATAGGTTTAAATTCATTAATTATAATTTATATGCATTTGACAAATAATTTTTTCTGTTTTTATGGTTTAGGTACATGTCACTGTGGCAGGTGTAAATGTGATAATTCAGATGGAAATGGACTTGTTTATGGTAAATTTTGTGAGTGTGATGACAGAGAGTGCATAGATGATGAAACAGAAGAAATATGTGGAGGTATGTGTATTAACTTTGCAGAAATTAATAAAATACTTGATTTTTCACTTGTTTCATTGTACTTTTAGCTCTATAAATTTATGTACTAGTTTTCTAATTTAGTTTAAACCTGTTTGGAAAACACTTTATATAAGGAAATTTAGACTGAGGCATTCAGAGTAACATATTTTTTAAATGTAAAATCAGATTATTCCCAAAGAGAGCCAGATGACATGGCAAGCAGGTCATTTTACATAGTTCTGAAGTGGTCCTAGTTGGACTTCATCTTGTATGCTCACCTTAACAGCTTTTATTGTCTCTTTTCTCTCAATATTTCAATTGCATGTTTTAACTTTATTCTATTTTCCCTTTTAAATCATTCGTTTTTAAATAGTCTCATGTCATTTTTATTGTTGTTTAAGTACAGTCATAGGGGACATGAGGACACTAGGATTATTAGCCTACAATTTATTCACTCACCCAACACATACACTTAGGTAACATCTTTCATGATCTTTTCTATGCATCATCATTACAAACATCATTTTTTTCCTGTTGTATCAGTGAGTGCATGCTTTCTGGTGCCAAGAACCACAATACATACTTCACATTCATTAGGTAACTTACCTAGCACTTCTAGTAGAATTTATACCACTGTCTGTCTGACACCAAAGACTGTTCTCTTGACCCCTCACCAAAGAGAACTGCATCAGTGTCCAGGAATATGGAGCTCCATGAAGAGATGCCCACCTCACTATCAGTAGTGTTTCTTTCCTTCTGCTTCCCTATCTGCAAGCATATTCTGAGAGTTTACAACTGTGACTGTTACAGGAGAGGGAAGTAGAGAGCAGTGAGAATCCCTTTAGTGTAGGCAAATTCTTCTCTGGTGTTTATATTCTGTTTTAGTCTGGGATCATCTTTCCATTGATAAGCAATTGCTTATGTCATTTATATCTGACAAGATTCCAGTCCATAGGATCTTATCCTGTATGCAGGACAATTTCAGAAGAGTATTTTCCTTCGAGGATCAGGCACAAATGGGGCCAGGAGGAACCAGAGGATGGACCATAGCGAAAGTGTCAAACATATCACAAAATGTCCATTTGTTTACAAAAAAAACAAATGATAGCTTCAATCCCTGTAGTCATCCAGATACTCTTATTTTAAGCATGCTTGTTTTTTTCTCTCTGGTTTACAAAAGAACTATTATGTTCTTTTTTCCAAGCCAATCCTAAACTACATACTACTGAGAGAATTTTGTTTAAGGGCTCAGTCCAAGATAATTAGAACAATTAGATAAATACACTCACAAATATTATGTATTTGTCTTTCTGGTGTTTCATTTCCAATTATTACAGATCAAAAAAGAAGAGGAAGGGAACATGTTTGGGGCTAATGTTGTCTGATGCAGACTGCCAAAGTAAAGTCTATTTGTATGTGTAAATGTAAATATTAACTTGAATCAACACAATAGAAAATGTTTATCTCTCAACCTTTCACTTACATTTCCATTTGTTTGAGGCTTAAGCTATTTCATGGTGCAAAGTCTCTGATCACAGACACCAGCTCTAATTAAAAGGGGGATGACATTGACTGCGTTTGTAGATCTTTCCACCTGTCATTCTCATGAAACCGGTCTGTTGAGAGGTGATTCTACAGACCATCTATGAAGCAACTCGAAATGAGATTTTCTTGCTTTATCAGTTTACACAAAGAAAAGATTTATGTTTATTGTTTGGAATGTGTATTGTCCTGAAGCTTGTATTTTACCTCAATTATTCAGATGTGTCTTGTTATAATATTTTCATTTGAGTTATGAGGGTATCTGCTTATTTTCCATACATGAATAGTGTAGCTTTACATAATTTTTTCTTTCTTTTTCACCTCTACCTCAATGATATTTTTAGGAAAGCCCTAATACTAGATTTTATAATATATAAAAAATTTGGGTGTGGAGAATAGATTTATTATCATTTGTTAATGTCAGGTAATTCTTGAATGTAGCACCTTACATAAATTTCCTGAAGTTGCGGAGAAAATAAATTTCTAAAGTTCCCTGAAATTACAGAGGAAATAAATTCTGGTTTAAGAAGTTAATATTTAAAAAAAACCTAACTCACAGGAAAAGTTTTTAGTAACTTACAGTTGTCTTGCTTTTTTTCAGTGTTTCAAGTTTCTGAGGCTTGTGATATAGCACTATAATGTGATATTTTGTGTGTGTACATGCAGAGATAATTTTAAGTTAATAAATAAAGTGTATAATATATGTTATAATTATATGTAACTATAAATATAAATGTATAGCTTGATAACATTTATACATGCTTAGGTGAAAAAATTAAAATTAAATTTGATGATGAAATAACTTTTTTTATGTGGATTCTCTAATTACTGCTCATTTAGATAGCAAACATGGCTTTATATGCATGGGCCCCATATCTTATTATAGTACTGGTTCTCTTCATCTCTTGGTCTACCTCGTTATCTCTCTGATGTGTGTCAGCATGAAGGAAGTCTCACCTCATGGACAAGAGTAGTGTAGGAGACCCTACCCATTTTCTTGCCATTAATGGGCCAAGAGTGCCATAGTGCTTAGAAAGAAAAATAGCCTCACAGTCAGTTTCCCACGGACCTTTTTGAATTATGGCTGTAGGAGAAGAAAGAGGGGAGTGAAAACACTTTACCCATAGACTCTGATAAAAAAAGATTCATATATGACAGAAAGAATGGGCTAAAAAACAAAGTCCAGTGTGGCCCCAGCTTTTATCACATTTACAAGAACAAGAAGCACATTCATGCTTGCATGGCATAACTACAAAAAGGGAGGACATAGACATGATTTAGAGTTAACTAGAATTGCTTTATTTGGGGAATTTGCAGAAGAATTGCCAGACGTGGGTGGAGAAATTAATGATGTGATTATTCATTGCTGATTTCTTGGACATAAATCCAAATGAAGAGGGTAATAGTTTGAAAAGGTGTGATGATACCTGAACATTAAATGATGGGGTGCCTTTACCTATCATTTGTATCTGGTTCACAAATGCAGTGGGGATTTGACTGTGATACCCAGGGTCCATAATATTTTATTGGTCTAAATGAGTACTAAATATTAATTTAGTTGAAAATCTCTTTTCCACATGGAGGAACACAACAGCCTGTGGGATACAGATGAATGAAAAGATTAAACATTTCCTCTGGTTTAAGAAATGATTCAGCCATTTCTTCTTGGATTCAAGAAATGCATCCAAGTAAATAACACCTTTGGTTTCTCAGTACTTAATTTCAAATAAAATATTTGGATGACTAATTCAAGAAATGCCCTTACAGTACTTAAATATTTTTGACTTTGATGCATACATTTGAGATTGGAATATAATAAACTATCATATGATTTCTTTAAAATTCTTTCCTTTTAATTAGCTGTCTGGCCAGGACAAGTTAGAGTACTCTTTGATTTGCTTCATGTGTGTAATTATGTAAGTATAAGCACAATTGTAATGTTTTGGGGACAAGCTACATAATTTGATGACAAGCAATGAGTGTGAAAAAAAGGTATATTATTTCAGAAGGCAAAAATGATCATAAAGGGATAGAAAGTTAATTCTGTTTTTAAAGTTGCTTTTTTTCCTCACTCTATAAAATCCATTTTGGGTAAAGGCCATGGAAAGTGTTACTGTGGAAACTGTTACTGCGAGGCTGGTTGGCATGGAGATAAATGTGAATTCCAGTGCGATATCACTCCCTGGGAGAGCAAGAGAAGATGCACATCTCCAGATGGCAAAATCTGCAATAACAGAGGTGTGTCATTCATACACATTACTGTGTAATGGAGAGAAAAACAAAGCTCTTAATTGTTAACACTCTTCTCTGTATTTTCTTCCCGGTGGGAGGAAGTCATCTTTTATAATCATTGACTCTGATGAAAAATCAACATTTTCTATAGCAATAAATATCTCTTTCTTATTTTTTTATTGAGTGGAAAACAGGAAAATAAGAAAGTTACTGTCATTCTTTATGCTTCACTAAATAAATAGTTAACATAGAGACTGTAATTTCTTTGGTGGTCATCCAGATATAGCTACAGTACAGTACAGCTAAAGAAACAGTACAGCTACAAGGTTAATCTAATAGATTCTTCTGTTAAGCTAACAAAACCATCTGCAGCATTAGCATCTGGTTATCCAGAGAACATTACAAACACCTTTCTTCTTAACTAAGCAAATTGAAGACTTGTTTGAAATATAGAATTGATATGGAGTCATTTAACTTTTATACACGGTAATAAAATGTTATATTGAACACAGTATATTTGTATGAAGGCCATATGAAATTTAGACTGGCCTTAGACATGAATTAAAAAATATTACTATTTCTAAAATATAATTTAAAGTGAGTTAACTAACTTAATAACAAATCAAAGTTTTGAAGACTTCTTAAAAATCCTTAAAAGTTGTTTATGTCCCTTTGTTGCCTGTACCAGTAGATAAAAAGAACCATGCTGTACTGCTCTTTGCCTACCTGATGATATAAATAAAATAAGTGGCCATATTTCCTTCTATAAAAATATAAAAATCTAGAAAACTGGAAAACATGTTTTGCATTTCTATAAATGAATGATGCATTTTAATAAGTAATGCTTCCAGGGAAAATCTTTTTTCAAAATATATTTGATTGATTATACTATTACAGTTATCACATTTCCCCCCTTTATTTTCCTCTGCCATGCATACCCCCTCCCACCCGCATTCCTCCCCTTTAGTTCATGTCCATGGGTTGTACATATAAGTTCTTTGGATTCTACATTTCCTATACTATTCCTAACCCCTACCCTGTCTATTTTCTACCTAGCATTTATGCCACTCATTCTCTGTAATTTTCCCCCTCCCACTCCCCCTCCATGTGATCTCCATTTCTGTGACTCTGTTCCTGTTCTAGTTGTTTGCTTAGTTGTTTTTTTTTTGTGGGGGTGAGGAGGTTCAGTTGCTTATAACTGTGTTTGTTGTCATGTTACTGTTCATATTTTTATCTTCTTTTTCTTAGATAAATCCCTTTAACATTTCATATAATAAGGGCTGGGTGATGATGAACTCCTCTAACTTGACCTTATCTGGGAAGCACTTTATCTGCCCTTCCATTCTAAATGATAGTTTTGCTGGATGGAGTAATCTTGATTGTGGGTCCTTGCCTTTCATAACTTCAAATACTTCTTTCCAGCCTCTTCTTGCCTGCAAAGTTTCTTTTGAAAAATCAGCTGACAATCTTATGGGAACTCCTTTGTAGGTAATTGTCTCCTTGCCTCTTGCTGACTTTAAAATTCTCCCCTTATCTTCTATCTTGGCTAATATAATTATAATTTACCTTGGTGTGTACTTTTTGAGTCTAATTTTCTTGGGACACTCTGAGCTTTCTGGACTTCTTTAAAGTCTATTTCCTTTCCCAGATTAGGGAAGTTTTTCTTCATTATTTTTTTAAAAGATTTTATTTATTTATCTGTAGAGGGGAAGGGAAGGAGAGAGGGAGAGAAACATCAATGTATGGTTGCCTTTTGTGCGTCCCCTGCTGGGAACTGGCCTGCAGGGAACTGACCTGCAACCCAGGCATGTGCCCTGACTGGGAATCGAACCGCGATTGTCTGGTTCGCAGACCAGCGCTCAATCCACTGAGCTACACCAGCCAGGGCTTCTTCATTATTTTTTCAAATAAGTTTTCAATTTCTTGCTCTTCCTCTTCTCCTTATTGTGTACCCCTATCATTCACATGTTGGAATGTTTAAAGTTGTCCCAGAGGTTCTTAAGGATCTCCTCATTTTTTTTATTTCTTGTTTCTTCATTCTGTTCTGGTTGAAAATTTATTTCTTCCTTTTTTCCACATCATTGTTTTGAGTCCTGGTTTCTTTCTCTTCACCGTTGGCTCTCTGTATATTTTGCTTTATTTCATTTTTCATAGCCGTCATTTCTTCCTTAATTTTGTGACCAAACTCAATAATTTCTGGGAGCATCCTGACTGTTAGTGTTTTGATCTATGCATCTGATAGATCGTCAATCTCTTCATTGCTTAGCTATGTTTCTTTCTGGAGCTTTGATCTGTTCTTTCATTTGGGCCATTTTTTTTGTCTTGGTACCCTTGTTATGTAGTAAGGGATAGACCCTTAGGAGTTCACTAGGGTGGGGCAACCCACCTCGCTGCATTGTGATGCTGTATGTGGGGGAGGGTTCTGAGAGGAAACTATATTGCTTGCTCCGCTCTCTGATGGTTTTCAGTCACTTCCCCCACTACCCACAAGCAAATTGGGCCCTCTTGCTAATTCCCAGGTGGATGGGTTTGTGTACATTCTAGGACCCTATGGGTCTCTCCAACAAGCTCTTCTGTGAGGCCAGAAGTTTCTCCCACTTTCGCCTCAGCCCCCACAAGTGTTTTCAGTCAGAGGCTTTGAGGCTTTATTTCCCCACGCTGGAACCTTGGATTGCTTGGTGTATCTTGGTCCCTAGTTGTTTCCCCCACTTTTATCTGCAGGCAAATGTGAGACTGCCCAGTCCACAAGCCACTGCCTTGCCAGGTCCACCAGCAGCCACTTTGACTGCCCGGGTCCTTCAGCCGCTGCCTCCATGAGAGTCCTCTCCATCCGAGCTGCCTATCTCCACCCCTCCTACCAGTCTGGGTGAATGTTTCTTTTTTAACTCTTTGGTTGTCAGACTTCCATACAGTTTGATTTTCTGGCAGTTCTGGTTGTTTTTGTTTTTAAATTTGTTGTTGTCCTTATTTTGGTTGTGCAAGGAGGCAAAGTGTGCCTACTTACCTGAGGAAAATCTTAACACACAACAAATTTTACTCTTTTAAAGATTGATGTAAATGAGTAAAATATGCTATATAGCTCTACATAGAGAAAAGAAAGGAAAAAGGCCTGAATTTGGAGCAGAAATCATTACAATTTTTAAATTTAATTTATACAGAATAGATCTGACTGTATATCATATGAATTCACATTGTTTGCCTTTAATATATAAGGACACAGTTCTGTTTCAGTTCTTTTATTCACTAGAATCAGTAATTACCATAACAATGTCAGTGTATGAAGTTTCGACTGTGTAACTGTGAGAGATAACCATTTACATGTTGAAAAAAGAGAGGAGAAAAGTGGAACTGATTGGGCTGTGTGGATCAGTTCCTGATTCTGCAGCAGGCATATGTGGGTTCTGTGAGACAGATGTTCTTCAGAAACACACATAACTTGCCATCTTTCCATATCTCACCTCCTGGCTTTCCCCTTCCTGGTGCTCATAGTTTTCTGATTTGGAGATCTGACAGAGGCAAAACAGGAAGCAACATGTCTAAATGGGGCTGGTAGCTAGTGAAGGCAGGTGAGGGCCCAGCACTGCAATGAGTTCCTTTTCTCAGAGGGTTCTGCTTATGTCTGTCCTGGAACTCTCCTTTTCAATACTTCCTAGGTAGGAGAGAAACATTAATCCTATACATACCTACCTTATCTTCCTTTTTAGCTCATGTTCAAGGGCCATAAAACAGTTTTGTGAACGGAGCTAATCAATGATAGAATAAATGTCCTTTATTGCCCACTTTGTTTAATCAGTTTCACATTGGACCCAATTTATCATATGACCATTCCCTCAAATCATTTATGTTAAGTGTATAATGCATATTCATCTTTAAAAATGCCTATTGTAGGAAATGATGCATAATCTTAAAATAGATATACCTCCTTTTCAATTTTGGTACATTGTATTTTGGTCTGTTTTCATCATTCATTTTAAAAAAATTCATCACCCTGTACTCTCTGATATGTATTTTCCTCTTATTTAATACAAAAATTGAATCATGCTGTGCATACTAATTTGAAATTTGTTTTTCTATTCAGTCATATGTTTTGGTGATCTTTCCATGCTCACAGGGCAAAAACCTAATTTGTACTTTTAATGGCTGCTTGGTAGTCCAAGCTATGCATTGTACTAATTCCCTATTGATTGATACTCATGTCCTTAGTTGTTTTTCAGTAGCAACAATGCCATCATATTTGATATTCCTGAATGTGTACTTTGTACTTTTCCTATCCTGTAGATACATTAATTGAAGTAGACTATTAACGCTAAATAATACCCACATTTTCAAACTACATATTGTGGAAAAAATGGTGCATCCAAAATTGTACCATTTTATATTTCATGCCTTCCTTCATCAGCCCTTGATCCTAGCAATTTTTTCACTTTTGCCAATCTGACATTCAAAATAATTTTAAATCACTGTTGTTTTACACCCACTCCCCTTAGTAATTATAGGTTGACTAGTAAACATTTTTCATGTTTAATCATAGGTTGACTGCTAAATATTTTTCATGTTTATCTGTCATTATTACATGTCTACAAAATCTCTGACTGGTGTTCTTTGCCTTTATCTATTTTGCTCTAGGCATATTTGTCCTTTACATATTGATTCCTAAGAATTATTTATGTTTATGAAAGTAGGTATTTGTCTTTTTCACACATATGTCTTGTTATCCCAGCCGTTTTAGTTTTTCTGGGGTTTTTTTTTTTTTTTGGTGTTTTGCTTCCAACCAAAATTTTACATTTTTTATGTAGATAAATGAAATTCTGTGTTTATTTTTAGTAATTCCCTTTGAGAATTTTGAATAAAAATTATTTATATTATATTTTAAGTCTTTTGTCTAACTAAAATTTACTTTGATGTGAGAGGTAAGAAAGGGATATAACTTTATTTTCCCCAGAAATGATAAGCTAGTTGTGCTAAAGGTGAGGACTGATAATCTACACAAAGTAAATATAATCTGCAATTGGGCATTTTCCTTATGCAAGTCTTTATATGATTAAGGTTATATCTCTCTACCTAATTTCCAACATCTTCTATAATCTGAGTTCATTTGATCTAACAAACCTTATTCTTAGGTTTCCATAATGTGCACCTTCTGCTTCAGTATGCAGGACTCCTTAGGATCCCCATACCCATCCCTACCCTTCTTTGCTTATTCTTGCTTTCTTGACTTTTTTAAAAATTTATTTTACCTCCAGCCAATCCTAGAATATTTCCCCCTCTCCCTACGTATCCAAACAACCTACCTACTAATTACTTCAGCCCATATTGATTTCTTCTTCCCCAAACTCTTTTTAAAAAAAAATGTTTTATTGATTATGCCATTACAGTTCTCCCATTTCCCCCCTTCATTCCCCTCCACTATGACACCCCCTCCCCCCATTCCCCCCTTTTGTTTATGTCCATGTGTCACAAGTTCTTTAGTTTCTGTATTTCTCATACTATTCTTGACCTTCCCGCTGTCTATTTTCTACCTACCATCTATGCTACTTATTCTCTGTGCCTTCTTCCCCCTTCTCCTCCTCCCACTCCCCTGTTGCTAACCCTCCATGTGTCCCCCAAACTCTTAATGGTACTTCTCAGCATTTATACCCTAGTGAACAAAGTGTTAGCACTCATAAAACATTTATTGTTTGTTAGTTTTTATTTCATCAGCCTTGTTTTTGTCAAGTAGATTGTAAGCTTCTTGAGGGCAAGGATTTTACCTTATGCTGTTTTAATTGTTTTGATATCATTTCTGAGACAAACCAACACAGTGTTAATGATGTATTGCACAATCCCATTTAATTATTGGGATAGATAATAACTTTTGTTTATTAAAGAATATCTATTTCCACTTTAGATGGTATTTTTCCTTTGTGGAATATTTTTTTCTGAACACATGTATTTTTTAAATACAAAGTAAGCAACATATTTTTTAAAACAATGTATAAGATGCTTGCTTTTATGAATTCTCACCAGACTCATATAAAATTATGTATTCATGTAGGGACTTGTGTGTGTGGTGAATGTTCTTGTCATGATGTTGACCCAACTGGAGACTGGGGAGATATTCATGGAGACACCTGTGAGTGTGATGAAAGGGACTGTAGAGCTGTATATGACAGATATTCTGATGACTTCTGTTCAGGTAAGTGCTCTCAGAATTCCTATTTTAAATGTAAAAGTTCATTTTTTAATTTTGAAGATTCATTTTGATTCTCACAGAAACTGTAAAAGAATTACATGTATATTCTAAAACATTGGATACCCACAGTGCTCCTACTAGTAGTAACTTGGAAACTTTAAGGGAATTCAAACATTGGAAAATACTAGATATGATAATGAACTCTCTCTCTTAAAATTAGTCTAATTCCTCACCAAGGAGAATCATTGATTTCAGATATCTATTGCTCAACTCTGAGACCACAAAACAGCTGATCTAGTGATGACAAGCTATATTAGTGTATTACAAAACTTTGACTAATACAATTCTCATGGATATTTTTTAAAGATTTTTATTTATATTTAGATAGAGGAGAAGGCAGGGAGAAACATCAATGTGTGGGTACCTCTCATGCATCCCCCTATTGAGGACCTGGCATGCAACCCAGGCATGTGCCCTAATTGGAAATCCTAATTGGGAACCAGTGACCCTCAGGTTCTCAGGCTGGTGCTCAATCTGTTGAACCACGCCAGCCAGAGCCTCATGGATATTTTAATGCATTAACTCTTTTGGTTAATGATTCATGATTTATACACTAAATATATTCTACAACTTAGTCTAGAATTGAAAATTAATTAGTGAATTTAAATTTTTAAAATATTTATGGAAAAAATAGTAGTTGCCAGGGTCTGAACTGCATCTGGGCTACTGGGTCCAGCAGTGAAATAGACAAATATGATCCTTGACTTTATGGAGTTTGCAATCTTAATATATGGAAATATATGACCTACCAGAATTTTTAATTGTTCAAAGGGAAAAAAGATTTATCTAAAAATAGATTTATGGATTTTTAGGCCTGTTATGTTTGGTAATTCATAAGGCAGAAACATATGCACATACATTTCTTTAATCTTGACTGCTTGATTGGTATACACAGAAAGAAACTCCACTGATCTCCTGAAAGTTTCCAGCAAAGAGAGATGGAAGAACTGCCCTATTTCATTATTATTATGCAACTTCAAAGATCTCTCTGGCCTGGTTGAGGGGAGCCTGTTGCTTCAACTTCCCCCTGCAAAAGGGTTTCCCTCTTCTGATTAACCCTTTTATTCAGGAGAATTTCTTAAACATTTTGTGAACTCTGTTCTCTTGAGGAGATGATACCCTTTTCACATATCTCTATTATTCACTATTATGAATGTTCTGTATAATCACAGTTATAAGCATAGTGCATAACTTGACTTTATTGTAAAGGCAGTGAGGAATTTGCAATGGTTTTCAGCAGTGGAGTGTTGTAGTCTCAGGTTTCCAGTTTGGTAGCCTAGGTAAGTGTTGGTGCCATTTACTGAAATAGAAAACATAGAAGGAAGTTGTCAACCTTGTTTCTAGATGTATAGATCATAAAGGACAAATGACAACCCAAAATTGATAGTTTTTTCACCTATTGAGTATGTGGGTCTAAACTCTAAGGATCAGTATTGAACATGAGGGTTTAGTCATAAGCACAGAGTTGGTAATGAAAACTACACTGGGGTTCAGAGAACACCATTGAAGAATGTCATTTTAAGATTGTGGCTTAAAACATAAATTCACACAATTTAAAATAGGAAAATAAAGGAGATAATCAATCTATATGTAACAATAATAAATGTGTGGCTTTCTTATATGCCTCTTTTTTTTTTTGCCATAGGGTATATTCTTCTTTGTTTAACCCATGATCCCAATCTTGATCCTCATTTGGAAGTGGGGTTGAAAAAAAATTTTTTTAATTTTATTTAGTTATTTTTCAAGTACAGTTTTTTGTCTATTTTTCCCATCCCAGCCTCCCCCTCCCCTTGCTCCCCACCTCCCTCCCATTTCCACCCTCCTTAGTTCTCGTCCCTGTGTCCTTCCTATTTGTTCCTCAAAATCCCTCCCCCATTTTCCCCTTAACTTCCCTTCCTTCTCCCCTCTGGTCACTATCCCCTTGTTCTCTATTTCAGTGTCTTTGTTTTTTTGTTGTTTTTTTTTCTGCTTGCTTGTTTGTTTTGTTGTTTAGCTTCCTGTTAAAGGTGAGATCATATGGTATTTGTCTTTCAACCCCATGGGGTTGAAAAATTTTAAATAACTACATTATCATGCTAATTCAGGATTATGTGAACTGGTCTGATTGTGGGGGACTAGGACCATGAGGTGAAGATTGGCATTGACACTTCACTTGATACTTTCATTCTTGTATAAGCTCACAATTCCTGTTGCATGCTTTTTAGGCATAAAATTACTAGAGGTTGGGAGGGTGAATGTTGTTAAGAAGGACTCCTTGGAATCTGAAATTTTGCACTTCACTCATTCCCTCACTTCTGCCTTCTACCGTATTTTTCTCTTCCTCTCTTTTCCATTTTCCCCTATGCTATGAGAATTCAAACAAGAAAGCTAATAAGTAACTGGGGTTTCTCATGGGAAGTGTTTTAGAATAGAATGATTAATCCTTTATATGTGGTCTCCATGCTGTAGGTGTAGACAGTTGGGAATGGGAAAAAGTGATGAGGCAATAGGCTTTTTGAACAGTAAGACATATGACAATGAGACATTAAATATATAATTGTGATTTCATTTTGTGTTCATTGAGTTAAATGAATATGACCAGTTCTCCATATTTCCTTCCCACACTTAAGATGAGGAATTCAGGAAAGGGGAAACGTTAACAGTGATCTGACTTTGATAGACACCAAGTTCATTTGCATACCTCATTCCTTTTTATGTTCACACCAACTCATAGTGGGAGACATGATTATTTATATTTTAACAGAAGAGGAAACAGATTCAGAGAAATTAAGTAACTTAAAATTAAGTTCATTCTGCTTTTGTATTATCTGAAAATATAGCCTGAGAAACCATGTAATTTAATCCAGCTACATTGATATTCTCTAGTGATTTATGCAAGGCTGTAGTGTAGTAAGGTTTAGATTAAACAGCTTTATTTTTAGCTCCCATTCTTGCAATCCTTGGAATGTTTATTTATTTAAACACTTATTTAAATCGAAAGGAAATCTTCTGATGGATTAGTTTAAATTGGCTCTTTTAATTGACATTCTCATTTTATTAACCCATTCTAACTCTGTCCATTTATCTATTCAGTAATGCACTTATGGATATTTTGTGCTTATTCCATAATGGGTCTGAAAGATACACATATTTTAAAATAACTCCTGCTTTCAAATAAATTTACTTTATTTCATTCATTCATGCATTCCTGTCTATTGTTCAGCATCCACATGGTATGTATGTGTATTTACTCATATACAAATATGATGCATACACAGATACACAGATACACACATGCACATGCACACACAAATACCTCAAAGATGCCATTGAAAAATTTGAGTGTGACTAAAATGACCAGAGCATGGTGAGTTATCCTGAAGTATACTAACTGCTTTGTTCGTTACTTCAGTTCTATGAGCTGCTCCACTGAATTTACTTTCTGATTGTAAAATAACTTTTATTCCTTTTGGCTGTTTACCACTCTGTTCTATTTATCAAATTCCCATAATTGGAAACAATTGATCTTATGTTATATTTTTCAGCTTGTTCTGACTACTAAAATAGTGAAAATATAAGGTTAGTCCTGGCTTAGGGTACCATTAGTTTGGAAAATGGAATAATTTGATAGAACCATATTATATGGGGATATTTATCATTGTGGATTAGCAAAGCATTAAGGAAAGAAACTGGATGAAATTAAGTATGCTCAGTTTACATTGTCTTGAAGGGAAATCAATGTATTCAATGGAATTTAAAAAAATAACAAATACTGGTTAGATCTAATTGATTTTCCCAATTAATTATCTTCATATTACTTTGTAAGAAGCTACTTATAAACATCAGATTCCAATTTGTGAGCATTTTTCGGTCATTTTAAAAGAAATAAAATTATAGCAGAAGAGTGTTTGTCTGGAATGAATGAAACTATATTTCTCCTGCATTGGTATTTTCAAGTTTAGATAACAACTCAAAGAAACACAATGATTGCAAGGAAAAAATAAGTGTTGGTGTCAGCAGCCTCTACTATAGTGATTTGAGAGCCTCTATAGTTCTACCCACCCAACATGGCCGTTAGGCCACTTGATGTCTGTCTAGTCTTGCTACCAACTCCCTACTCATATGGTACAGATTGAGTTGTGATACCATTTACACACCAAAATCAATACCTCATTGTTCTATTGTTGTGTGTATGTGTCTTTAATGTATGATTATAGATCTTTTGAGAGCAATTCTCTAATGTGCATTCTCACATTTGATATTAGGAATGCATAACAATAATCTGTATCTTTCATCTCTATTTTGTTATCTTCTTCTTACAGAGTTTATAGGAATACTTATTAGAAGCAATGAAATTAACTCCTGTAGGCTTAATATATATGTTTGACACAGTTGCAAGGAAGCATTAAATTTCAGATTAGAATGGTAAAATTTGCTTTTGGTTCTTTCATTTTTAAAGATAAAGTCCAGTGACATGAGGCTCAGAAAGGCGAAGTGACACACTTAGATCAAGGACACAGGTTTCTTAATTTCTTTTATGCTCTTTTTACTATTTGTTTATGAAATACCTTAATAAAGTTTGTTATAATAGTCTAAAGGATTTTGATGCTAAGTAGACTTCATCTTTTCTAAACTCTTCTTTGTATATCAAAATCATGCATTTTCATCTTATTAATTTTGTCCTGATAAAAGGTGTTTTTTGCTTTTTGTGGCATAAATTTTATACTAGAATTGAAAGACTAGGAACTCAAGAAGAAAAATTGTAGTTTCACTTTATGTTCCCTGTTTTGTCTGAAAAGCTCAGTACCTACTTCAGTATCTTGTATCAGTACATTTCATTTCCAAGTGATTTCCTAACTACATTAACTTTATAGAAAAGATACAGTTTCATTTACCGGTAAATTAAAATCCATAACATTTTAAAATATATTTGACAGAATGTCACTTTGAGTTATTAAAAGATG